ATATATATATTTTTTTTTTTACACTACAGCAACATGCTCAATGTTGACTTTCCATCCAAAAAGCAAGCATTTTCATATACTCAACAGAAAACCTCAGACAATCACATTTAAACATAGACTATGGAACCAAGGACATGCCAAAACCCAGTGTGTTTATATGATTTTGAGAAAAACACCACTGTTTGCATGTGCATGAATACATGTGTGGGCACATAGTGTACATGAATGTAAACTTTAGGAGCAGGTGCAGTCATACCAGTAATCTTGTCCAGTTCAGCCAAAGTCTCCTGGTAGGAGCTGATGATTCCTCCATATCGTGTCATCACCTCTTTTCTTAAGTTGTCCCAGTGAGGAGACAGCTCCCCCAGCTCCCTCAGGTCCTGTACCCTGCAGATAAACACAGATCTCTGAGTACCTTTGTGGTTTTAATAGATATTAAACTCTTCATCAATGAAATTCACAAATCTTGGCTTGCTTGCTGTTTCAGCTTAGCTTCAGTGTTTTTAAAAAAAATCTAATATAAGGGAGAAAAACTATTAAATATTATTGTAATGCTACATCTGGTGTTGGGTCATATCCGTGCTTCCCAAACCCCTTTAAAAAAACCTGGTATAACAAACACAAGCTTGCACAGACTGAACCAGACACACACAGAGTAACATCCCAAAGCACCCTGTGCTTGGCCAGATAAACACATTTCTGAACCTCAGGCTAGTAGCTGGTGCCCACTTATCCACCCTGCCCTATCAAATTCTTCCCCTGCTCCTACCATTCTTCTACCACTACTTATAAAATAGTCTTTACTGGTGTCACTGGGGCGATCAGTTGCCTGTCTTTCATCAAGCTGTGCCTGCAGGCCAAGGCCAAATTCATCTGTGCTCTTTCTTCAGGAAATAATAATGGCTGTGAATGAGTGTGTGCATGTGTGTGTAGGTGGGGGGCTGATTTCCTACTGGGTTGTACAGCCTGGTTCGTCATTTGCATGTGAAAGGCAACATCAGATGGACAGATATCATTCAGAACCCAGCCCTCCAGCATCCATTGAAAAGTTAATTGCAGTGATATTACAGAAATTAGAGGTTGAAGGGGGTTCAATATAGTATTCAGGATAACAAATACATGGTCATATGCTTTGCTTTCATGATAACAGGCCCAATTTTCAGTGATTACACCTCATACATTTTGTATACTGTACGACTTCAAATGAAAGCCTGCATGCACAAATGCTCATTGGTCCGACTTATTGTTAAGATCAGGTATAATTGCTTGAATGCATAATGTAGTAGCTGTTTCTTTGTTGTAGTTCAACTACTACAACAAACATTAGGTGCTTAAAGCCTCTCCAGACTATTTCCTGGTTTGCTCCAGGTAAGTAAATTATTTACACATTACTTTTAAGTACACAGCAGCGATAAAAATCGTGCCAGAAAGAAAGACATAGTGAAGGTCATATGTATGATCAAATCCAAACAAAGAAGATTTTCTCATGTATCTTTTTGGGTATCTAGCCACGTGGTATGTGGTGGTACACAACATCTTTTTTAATCCTGTAAGCACTACAGCTACACTGATATATTGGCTGACATAAGCTTAAAGGCCTAGTGTGTAGGATTTAGTGGCATTTCTTGCAGATTGCAACTCCCTTGCTTCCCCCCCTCTTCCAAGTTCAAAGAAGAAACTATGGTGGCTACAAAATGTGTGAAAAACATGAACGCCCCTATCTAGAGGCAGATTTGGGTTTTTCCCCTCAGGAATACTGTAGAAACATGGTGGTTCAGCAGAGTGGACATAGGTGACCCGCAGTGTCTAAAAGGGTCATTCTAAGGTAACAAAAA